GAGATCGTGACCTGGCTGAAGTCGGACGCTTAACCGACTGCGCCACCCAGGCGCCCCGAAATTCCTGTTGTTTTAACCCGCTCTGCCTCTGGGTGTCTGGGGTAGTTTGTTACGGGCGGTGGGAGGAAATTAACATGCTGTTATTCACCAGTACTTCTGTTGTGAAGAATAGTGAAGGCAAGTCTTTTCATTTCTCTTTGATTAAAAAATTATAGGGAAGTAAGAGCTATGAGGAGTCTTGGGATGAAAGGTACTAACCCACTGACCGCGTTATTTAGGCCTGTGGGATAAGAGAAGGGGGACAGTGGAGCAGGGAGGAGCCAGGATAGAGGCCAGTGAGTGCCCAGCCTGGGGCAATGACTTCTGAGGCCGGGAATGCTCTTGCCGCCTTCGGGCATAGCCCATTTGTCTCTCTTTCTATATAATTTGTCTAGATACTCCACCTCTCGGTGAACCCTCCTTTACCTTCACTTCACTATCTCTTCCTTTTATATTCTACTGCTAGCTCTTTCAAATGGCATTTTGGTATTTTCAGTTGATCTAAGCAAAGCTAATCAAATGTGTGTGCGAATTGTTCAGGAACCTGAGCAGCAAAAGAAACAGAGAAGGCTGTTCAAAGTGTCAGGAAGCTGACCTGCTGTGGGGGGGCAGTGCCTTGAGGGGCTGCGGGAGGGGTGGGGACACAGGACAGCACAGGTAGAAGAGGCCAAGGCAGGCTGTTTCTTTCCATAACAAAGGAAAAACAGTTCAGTGACAAAGCACCTCGAAATTATGGACAATGAGCTCTGTTCAGCATACTCAACTCATTGGGTCTTCACCAATAAATAAGTCTAATCCAAAAATCTTGGTACACTGAATACGGTATGCATTGCATCCAATGTGCTTAGATCACCAAGGTTAGGTCAATAAGTCTGCGTGGGTGAAACCTCGTTCAATGTATTAGATTCCACGTTTCAAGAAGAAATACATTTATCTACTTTCATCCTGCCTTAATTTGCAAGCCATTCTATTCTTTGAAAATTTACATACACTTCTAAAATGCCCTTTCATAGACCTGTACTCTGAAAACGATGAAACATTGAAGGAAATTGAAGGCAACACAAAGAAATGGAAAGACATTCCATGTGCATGTATTAGAGGAACAAATACTGTTAAAATGCCTATACTACCCAAAGCAATCTCGACATTTAATGCAATCCTTATCAAAATGCCAACAACATTCTAGAACAGGCAATCCTAAAATTTGTATGGAACCACATAAGACCCCAAATAGCCAAAGCAATCTTGTAAAAGAAAAACAAGATGGGAGGAACCACCACTCCAGGCTTCAACGTATATACAAAGCTGTAGTAATCGAATAGGATGGTAACTGACACAAAAGTAGACACCCAGATCAATGGAACAGCATAGAAAACCCAGAAATAAACCCACAATTATATGGTCAATTCATCTTTGGCAAAGGATGCAAAAACATCCAAGGGGAGAGACAGTCTTTTCAATAAATGGTGTTGGGAAAACTGGACAGTAACATGCAAAAGAATGAAACTGGGCCACGTTCTTACGCCATACACAAAAATAAACTCAAAATGGATTAAGGACCTAAATGTGAGACAGGAAACCATAAAAAACTTTGAATAGAGCACAGGCAATTATTTCTCTGACACTGGCCATAGCGACACCTTTCCAGATATGGCTCCTGAGGCAAGGGAAACAAAAGCAAAAATAAACTATTGAGACCACATCAAAATAAAAAGTTTATACAAGCAAAGGAAACAATCAACAAAACTGAAAGGTAACCTTCCGAATAGGAGAAGGTGTTTGCAAATGGCATATCCAGTAAAGGGTTAGTATCCAAAACACAGTATATAAAGAACTCATACAATTCAACACCCAAAAAACAAATAATCCAATTAAACATGGGTAGAAGTATGAACAGACACTTCTCCAAAGAAGACATCCAGATGGCCAACAGACACATGAAAAGATGCTCAACGTCACTCACCATCAAAGAAGTGCAAATCAAAACGACAATGAGCTATCACCTCACACCTGCCGGAACGGCTAAAATCAACAATACAAGAAACAACAGGTGTCAGCAAAGATGTGGAGAAAAAAGAACCCTCGCGCCCTGTTGGTGGGAATGCAAACTGGTGCAGCCACTGTGGAAGGGAGTCTGGAGGTTCCTCAAAAAGTTGAAAAAACAGAACTACTCTCTGATGCATTAATTGCACTCCTGGATATTTACTCCAAATATTCAAAAACCCCAATTTATAAAGGGATACATGCATTCCTATGTTTATTGCAGCATTATGTCTAATAACCAACTTATTGAAGCAGTCCATTCACCTGTTGATGGAGATATAAATAATGAGATATTATTCAGTCAAAAAAAGAATGAAGTCTTGCCATAATGCAACAACACGGATGGAGTTAGAGCATTCCGCTAAGCAAAATAAGTCAGTCCGAGAAAGACAAATACCGTATGATTTAAGAATTTAAGAAACAAAACAAATGAACAAAGGCAAAAAAGAGAGACAGAGAGAGACAGAAAGAGAGAGAGAGAGAAAAACCAAGAAACAGATCCTTAACTATAGAGAACAAACTGATGGTTACCAAAGGGGAGGTGGGTGGGGGGTGGGTGAACTAGGGGATGGGGATTAAAGAGTTCACTTTTGGTGATGAGCCCGGAATACGTATATCATTGTTCAATCACTATATTGTATACCTGAAACTAGTATAAAACTGTACGTTAACTGTACTGGAATTAAAATGAAAAACTGAATAAAAAAAAAGAAAATGCCCTTTCACGGGACACAATTGCTTATAAAATGCGAAAGTTGAAAAGTATCTACACTCAACCTCCATTCTTTTTTTTCCCCAAACGAGAACTCCTAAATAGTACCAGAAAAACAAAACAAAACAAAACGGTGAATCAAAACTGAGGAGTTTTTAACACCTTTTAGCCTTTTTTATTGGGCAAATCAATTCTATAAATAGCTTTGGTCAAAACCCGCTTTTAGAAATCACCCTCACCTGGGTCAAGTTGTAAATGCACTCAACAGAGTTCTTCTTCACGTCAGGGTCTGGGCTGGCCAGCAGTCTGACGAGTGGCTCTAACCCGCCGTGCTCCAATATTTGCACTTTGCTGGTATACTCCGCAGACATGTTCGCCAGGCAAAGACTGGCGAACTCATGAATCACCACTTCCTCTGCACATCAAAGATAAACAACACAAGTGTGCGGAAGGCTTCCGCAACCACTACTTTAAAACACGTTTTGAAAACCAAAGCTTCACGAATCCTAACTTTGGTGAGAGCCCCTCTTGGCTTGAAAGACCTTAAGGACAATTCACAGTTGATATTACATAGGCTATTTCCGAGGAGTAGTTTAATGAAATGCGAAAAACAAACCAGTCCCATTTTTGAAACAGATGCGGGATGCAAAACTACCTTCTGGAGCAAGCTGAGCGATGACGGAATTCATGACATCTAGTTCCCTTAACAATTTTTTAACATCGTCTGCAAAAGAAGAAACAGCGTATTAATATTTCTTATTATCAATAACAGCGAGGTTGTTTAAACAGTCCCTTATGAGATAGGCTTTATTATTACCTAATTTTACAAATAAAGAAACTGAGGCTCAAAATCAGCAAGTCAGTGGTGAGACCAGGTAGCATGGTCAGGTCTGTCGGACCCTAGACAGACTCTAGCCCCTCTCCTTGATCACCGAAATATACTACCTTCCGACAACACTAGCAAAGATAACCAGAAAAGTGCAAAGTGTACCTAGAACACTAATCAGTAAAGCCGAGTTACTGCTCCCTACATTTGTTTACCGTATAGTAGAAATTCCTTTTGGTGTTGTTTTGTTGGAAAGGGTATTTTTAAATTTTGATTTTAAGAAAACTTGTGCAGAATGCAAGTAAGAATTATCCTCAGCCTTTTCGATTCCTATATCTTGGTTGTGTTCCATTTGATTATCAGAGATGCCAAAAAGGATTAAAGACAAGTATATTGATTTGTTTAAAGTTCACTTCTGTACTAGTCACGTGAGCCTAATTAAGGCCGGGCAGACACGCCCCTACTTCTCCGCTGCCATCCTTAACCCGTGTTTTTGGAGAAATAAGGCATAAGAAATAAGGTACTCATTTAGTTTTTGCAGTGGTTCTTGGTCAGTTATCTTTGTAAGCCGAAATTAGCATCATTAGGATTTTGGACAATTTCACTTCGCGGCAGAGAGTCTCTGGATGGATTTTTCCTCATTAACCACTGGGTATACTTGACTTTTATTGGACACCTTTTGCTCTGTTTCTGTTCAAAATGGCGGAAGAGGGCCAGCAAACTTATCGCTGGCTTACACGTATGTGAATAAGCTCGAAGTACAAAAGAATAGTAGAGCTTCTGGAAAGGGTAGCGTCCCAAAGTGGAGGGCATTATTTTACAGTCAACACTGGTTCAAAAAACGGGGGCGCCTGGGTGGTTCCGTCGGGTGAGTGTCCAACTCTTGATTTCTGCCATGATCCTAGGGTCATGGGATCCAATTATCCAGCCCCGGGAGATTCTCTCCCTCTCTCCCTGTCCCTCTCCCTGGCTCATGCTTTCTCTTGCTCTCTCTAAAATTAAAAAAAAATAAATAAATAAAGTATACCTTGACAGGGAATTAAACAAGTGAAGGCATCCTACTCAGATCTTTCCAAGTGTGCTGGTGCACCTTCTAGAAAACTTGTGTTCTTGGTATTTCTGCTCTGAGTCCAGTGTCTATATTTCCAAATGAGAAGGGCACACCCGTCTATTTTTACATGCTTGATGCAAAATATTTCTGGGCTTTTAGATCTCCAGTTCATTCTCCATTTGGTATCCAAAAGAACCTTCCATATGTTTCAAAGTTTCTGCTACAACACTGACCACAAGGTCAAAAACACCGATGCTCCATGTGCCCTCTGCTTCTCTCGTTTTCCTGCAGGAAGGAAATGCTCCCGCAGGCCGAGGCCGCCTGGCTGGGCCCGTATGTGACACCTCACGTTCTTCTGCCCTAACAACTCAAAAGTCTTCATCACAGAAACCCGTGCCACGGAATTCCCTTCTAGATAGGAAGTTAGCCAAATCTGTCCAGTAACAGATGCAGTAGAGCTCTTCGCTAAATCATTTTTCTCTTGGCTCAGAGGAGGGCTCAGATTCTGTGGCAGTGCCTATAAATCAGTGGCATAGCAGATCAGTTTGTTATTCTGCTTTTTGACACCAATTGTCCCTAAAGGATCTTTCTTTTCCTGAGGGTAAGTCAGCAAAACATAACGGATAAGTGCCTATTTTCGTCACTCGAAAAACAATATCGATCTCTGCCCCCTTCTTTCTCCACAGAGAACACGCTCATATAGGGCAACTGAATAGAAACTCTATCTATTGTGGTCGGTCCACGCAAATATGTTCTAGCTGGGGGCGCCTGGGTGGCACGGTGGGCTAAGCGTCTGACTCTTGATCTCGGCTCAGGTCACGATTTCACAGTTTGTGAGTTCAAGCCCTGCATCGGGCTCCGCACTGATGGCGTGGAGCCCGCTTGGGATTCTGTCTCTCCTCTCTGCTCCTCCCCCACTTGTGCTGTCTCTCTCTCAAAATAAATAAATACAGTTTTAAAAATTTGGTTTAAATATGTTCCAGCTAAACTCTAGGACACATACAATTTTAGGTGGTTCAGAACTGCCAACACCTTCACTTCCTGGAGTAACTTCATGCAATCTGGATTTTTTTAAAAAACATTTTTTTTAATGTTTTTACTTAGTTTTGAGAGGGAGAGAGAGCAAGCAGGGGAGGGGCAGAGACAGAGGGAGACACAGAATCTGAAGCCGGCTCCAGGCTCTGAGGTGTCAGCACAGAGCCCGACATGGGGCTCAAACACACAAACGGCAAGATGGTGACCTGAGCTCAAGTCAGAGGCTTAACCGACTGAGCCACCCAGACATCCCATGCAATCTGTTGTAACTGCATTCTTATTTACACTTTCTGGTTGCCTAATATGAACCATCCAATTTATTTTTGACCTTATATACTCTTTTACATCAACCTTTTCTTAAGATGGCAAGGTCTTCAGATCGCCATAAGTAATGTAAAATCTGGGCTTCAAGGATGGCAATGAACTCTCTCTTTAGCTGACTTCATTAAATGAGCCTCTGTTATACGGCCTCATCAAACTAAATACAAACCGGGGGTGGGGGTGCGTAAGAGACAGCAACTCCATTTTGATTAAAAGGTTTAACACAGTAATTTGAATGCTTGTCTTGAATGACCCAGGATTAGCATAGGCTCATAACTCAATCACTTTAGAAAAAAGACAAAGAAGAAAAATCAAGAATTTGTTTGCTCTCACAGCAATCCTTTTAGCACCGGGCATTCTGTTGGAACATCGTACTGGTTCATCCACTATGAACATAGTGAAAGCATTGAGTACGTGAAAGGCATGTGAAGATACAAATCTCTAAAGAAAAAGTGGTTATTTTAAGACAGTCTAAAGATGATTTAACCATGTGGCACCAGAGGTGCGTTTGTTTACAAATTAGTCTGGATACATGCCTTTTCATTTAAAAAAATTCCTTTAACGTTTATTCATTTTTGAGAGACAGAGACAGAGTGTGAGTGGGGGAGGGGCAGAGAGAGAGGGAGACACAGCATCCGAAGGAGGCTCCAGGCTCTGAGCTGTCAGCACAGAGCCCGAGGCAGGGCTCAAACTCACCGACTGTGAGATCATGACCTGAGCCGAAGTCAGATGCTTAACTGACTGAGCCACTCAGGTGCCCCAGGCCTTTTCACTTAGAGTGAACGACTAGCTTAGTCGCCTTGGACATGGATGCACAGTGAAGCAAAAGCTATTCATGTACTGGTTGTACTGACAAAGCAGGAACATGAGCCATTGAGGACACCAAGCAGGTTATCGTGTCATCAGATAGTTCACGTAGAAAATGAATCAATTCCCATAAATGCCTTGATTTTTTTTTTTTTTTTTTTTTTTTTTTTTTTTTTTTTTTTTTTTTTTTTTTTTTACCCAATTCGTGGAATCAAAAGAAAGCTCTTGGTCAGGGGGCGGGAGGGTTCATTCATCATATCTAAGACCCACGGGCTCCCTGGAAACCGCCAAGACAGCAAAACTCTTTCCAGTGTTATGCTTCGTGGTAGCAGATTGCACCCCAGCACTGGTCGCAGCCCAGCCAGCCGTCTCCCAGAGGGCGGCTCGACGGGTCTGAGAGCCATCACATTGAGCACTCAAATGCAACGGTTATTCTCAATATTTTAGGGTCACAGACTCTTTTGGAAACTCGTGAAATGCAACATACAAACCCTGCTCAGGAAAATGTGGCAAACAATTTGGAGGGCTTCACAGATTATAAGCTCCTCGTGTATTGGAAGGTGCAAATTCTAAATAAAATGAATACGAGAAATCAAGAACAAAAGTAAATAGGAAAAAAAAGTCATAGAAACCTGGACACTCAGTTAGAAGGCAGAAGTCTCAGCAGAAAATGATGACTTTCCTTTCCAAAGGACACGCATTCTCCCCCAGAATCACGTAGTAGGAGAACCTGAGTTAGCATGTGCACTCATGTTACGGATCGGAGAATACTTGATGAATCCAGTCCACTAAAGCTAGGAGCCAGAGAGTAGAGTTCTAATTCTAGCTCTGATCTGATTTCTTCTATTAACCACCCGCATGAATGCACAAGGAACCTAATCCTTTCAGAGCTCTTTTCTATTTTTAAAACGAGGAGTTGCATAAGAGGTATTACAAAGCACCCCCGCTTCTCAAATTCCGTGGCGTGTAAACGGAATAAAACATAAGAAAAATTTTCATGTTCCCTTTTTTGATTATAAATACTTTCAGGGTGGCTCATTCAACGTGGCAGAATTAGTACACAGACAGCCCCTGAGACAAATTCATGAAGGCCCCACGATACAAATGATTACTACCTTGTTTAACTTCTCTGTACCTCAGTTGCCGCACATATAAAGGGAATGACCGTAGCACCGACCTCATTAAATGACTGAACGTACAAATAGCATGTAGGACAGCGCCTGGCACATGGTAAATGCTGTGTGAGTGTTGACTAATGTTACCAAAATCTGGGTTGGTAGAGCATCCACTCCCCCACGACTGTCCTCATCCTGCAGCCAGAAATACCCCCAGAGCCCCTGCCTTCCAGAACAGCCGCCATTAGAGCTCCCGCACTTGCCTCCAGATCCCCTTCCACTAACAGCCCCGGCGGGGCCCCATCAGCACCCCCAGAACGGCACGCAGTGTTCACGCAGTCTTGGCGGCGTTGGCTGTAAGGGCACAGATGTCACCTAAAACTCTCCTTCCCTGTCACTTCCCATCTTCCTGTCTGTGACATTAATGCCACCGTCCCTGGTGGACAGCGTGGAATAAGGAGCCCCCCTTCCTCTCCCGTCCTGTCTCACCCAGGGTTCAGGAAAGTGGGGGGGGGGGGAGTCAGGAAGTTGAGGGAGGAAACTGAGCTTGTGCTTTTGCCGAGACTGGTGAGGGGGGGAAGTATGATAACTTTAGCCGCATGCCATGAGACAGACAGATATGTTTATTCCTAACTGCCTGGGTTTCGGTTTAGAGTTCATTCAGTCTTCACCAAGAATGTCATGTTTTATTATAAAGTCACAAGGCCTTTAGTGGCTAACTCAGAAACCTACCATTATAACAAGAAAATGACTTTCAAGTGAAACAGGCCTCCTGTTCATTAATCAGGGACTGACTTTATTGGCAGAGTTTTCGTCAAACCGGTATTCTAACAGACATACTAGCATATTTTAACTAATACTTTCATTTCACCATATTAAACATATGAAAATATTCAAGCCATAGGTCTGATTTAAGAAATAAATACATGTCTAAAATTATTTTTGGCAAAGTAGATTTTGCAGTTTCAGAAAAATAAATGTATCAAACCTCTTCGCCCTGGGTTACTTTCACTATGAAATACATACGAAGTGTAGCTTACATATGGGCGGACAAATTACATCACGCTAACTCCAGAAAAGAGCTATTTTAAGAGACAATGAGTGCCCTTCAACTTGTTAGACTCAAACCTACCACGTCACCAACTCTGAGAGTTTTACATGGATATATTTGCATATATTTTTATATTTTAAAAATATCTCGGGGCTCCTGGGTGACTCAGTCTGTTAAGCATCTGACTTTGGCTCAGCTCATGATCTTTCAGTTCATGAGTTCAAGCCCTTCAACAGGCTCTGTGCTTTCAGTGAAAAGCCTGCTTCCGATCATCTGTCTTCCACTCTCTCTGCCCCTCCCGCCACCTCAAAAATAAATAAACAGTAAAATAAAGAAGAAAAATATGTTCTTAAAATATGAAATCATAATCTGTTGTATTATATTTATTTAACATTTCGTTAACATCAAAGTCAGTTCAAATAAAATTAAAAACAAACCCCTTAAAGTTAAATTTTAAAAAAGGAGAATGCATTACATGAGGTTATGACATTATGTCTGAGAGTTGATACTTACTATTAGAAGCCAGGATTCCAAATATCATGGTAGCATTTCTTCTTACAATTTTGTCTTCATGGGTGAGCAGCTTGGTTAAAGGTTCCACAGCTCCAAGTTCAAGGAGGGTAGCTTTGTTTTCTTCACCTGATATCACAGGTAAAAAAAAAAGCATGCATGGATATCATCAGTCTCATCAAAACTCTCCTCGTGCCATTTTAATTTCTTATTTGCTGTTTGCCTTTCACATTCCTCTTTGCTTCCGCATATACCTGTCTCGGAATAAACTTTAGAGCGCAGGGATCCTCAACATTTGCTGCTTTCCTTCCTCCTGATGCTTATTTCAAGAGCTGGCTTCCTCTTGTCATTCAGTTCTCAGTTCACACTGCACCTGCTCAGAGGGTCTCCCCTGACCACCCTATCTAACGTTACCACTACGTACAAGCCTTTCTTCCTCTTCCCTAGTCTATTTCCTTCATACCACTTAGCCACCTCCTTGCCTCGTTTGCCTGTTCCACTAGAACTTAATTTTCCACGAGGACAGATACCCTTTCTGTTCTATTCTCTCGTATCCTCAGCGCCTAGCATAGAGCCGGTCATATACTGGCGTCATTAATCACGAGACTTCATTAACATACGCGGACCCCACTTCAAGTTAAAGTGGGATGGTGGGGTGAGTTCAGGGGGCTCGTTTTTCACCCACTGGGGTTACAGCACCTATTTTGTCATCCAAGATGTGTCTGCAGCTAGCATGAAGGTTCACGCACAGAGGGGAGCCGCCAGGGTAACTGGGGACTCCTTAGCTGTGGCAAGAAACCCCAGAAGGCCACGTAATGCCAGAGTCTTGCTTAACTATAGAAGCAATTTAGCTATATCTTGATGAGTGGGATATCGTTCTACAAAGTCAAGAACAATGTTTAGGTCCTGATTAATTTCAGCTTTTTAATTTCACAGGCTACGAAAACATAGATCTCACTTTCAAAATTAATTTGAGATATAATAAAGTCCCTTTCACTTGTCTTGCCTCAGTTTTCTCATAAAATTAGAGTATTTTATATTTTAAGTTATAGGTCCATATTCTGATAACACGCAGACTATATCTTCCTAATGAAATTGCCCTGTCTCTAAATGGTCAAATTTGTCGCCTGCTAAGAACATGTTGAAATATGCATTGTTGACTATCACAAACCTCTTCATATCTTCCAATATTTGCATCTTAAGGAAATTCTAAAACTTAATTTCTTGGATGAAAACATTTTGTCAAATGAATCTTTAATATAAATTTTAAGATACTTATGCTTAAATAAAAAAGATATTTTATATGTCATATTGTCATAAAAATTAAGTTTGTCTTTAAATTTTTGTTCTGAGAATTTTATTACGTAACTTGAATTATTTCTTCATCAAAATACATTTCTTCTCAGTTTATAAACAATGCTGTGTATTATAATTTTATGACCAGCAAAAGAGGATTTGCAAAATTAATAGCTTGTGTAATCTTTACATCTATTTTTATTCTTTTTTGACAGTTTTTATGAGGCATCATTGACATACAATAGACGGTACAAACTTAAAGAGAACAATTTGATAAATTTTGACCCATGTTTAACACCCATGAAACCAAACAGCACCATTAAGGAAAAAAAAAAAACGTATCTAACAGCCCCAAAATTTCCTCTTGACACTTTGTGACCTCTTCCTCCTGTTACTATACATTATTTTGCATTTCCCAGAACTCTATATAATCATAGAGGATGAATTTGTTATTGTCTGGTTTTGCTCAGTCTGATTATTTTGAGATGAATCCATGTTGTAGCATGTATCATAGTTCATCATTTTTATTGCTGAGTCCTACACCATCATATGGATATACCACACTTTGTCTGGATCATATGGTAGATGTACATTTAACTTTTTGAGAAACTACCAAACTGTTTTCCAAGGTGATGGTACCATTTTACGTTCTCATAAGCAATGTACGAGGGTTCCAATTTCTCCATATCCTAGCCAATATTTCTGTCGCTCTTTCTGATTAGAGTAATGCCGGTGGCTGTGAAATAGTATCTCATCATGGTTTTAATTTGTATTTCCCTCATGACTAATGATGTTGAGCCAAAGGCACTTTTTTGCCATCCATATGGCCCTTTAACCAAGTGGCTATTCAAATCTCTTGCTCATATGTATGTTTAAACTTGGTTTACTTTATTACTGAGTTTTGAGAGTTCTGGACACAAGTCCTTTATCAGATACATGATTGACAAAGATTTTCTCGCGATCTATAGCCTATCTTTAAAAAGAAAATTACTAGACTTTTTTTTTGAGCAGTTTTAGGTTTATTAAAAAAAAATGAACAAAACATACAGAGTTCGCATACTCTCCATCTCTCTTCCTTCCCCCACTTCCCTGATTATTAACATCATGCATTAGTGTGGCACATTTGTTACCATTGATGAACCGATATTGATACGTTGCTATTAACTAGAGTTGGCAATGTACATTACAGTTCACTGACTGTGTGGTACAACTCTATGGGTTCTGAGAAATGCATAAGATTATGTTTAGCTTTCCGAGAAACTACCAAATGGTCTTCCCAAGTGCCTGTACTATTTTGGACTTCCACCAGCAATGAATGAAAGTTCCTGCTGTTCCACATCTTCACCAACACTTCATGCTGCCATGAATTCATGCTGTTTAGAATTTTAGCCATTCTTCTAATATGTGTGTGGGGATATTTCACTCTTGCTTTAATTTCCTGGTTAACATACGACACCTTTTCACACACTTATTTGCCATCTGTGTATCTTTTTTTGGTTAGGTGTGTGCGTTCAGGGTAAGTTTGATAACATCCGGTCAACTGTCCTCTTATGGATTTAGTGTCATACTGAAGAAATTTTTGGCGAACCCAAGGTCAGAAAGGTTTTCTCCTATGTGTTCTGGAAGTTTTATAGTTTTAAATTTTATGTGGATATCTCATTCTAAAACCATTTGTTAAAAAGACTGACTTTTTCTACTGTATTGCTTTTTTACCTTGGTTGAAAAATTGTCCATATATATGTGGGCCCATGTATGGCTTCTTTATTCTGCTTCTTTGATCTATTTGTTTATCTTTGTGCCAATAACGCTATCTTACTTACTGTAGCTTTATAATAGTCTTAAATCAGGAAGAGTATGTTCTCAAGGTTGCTACTTTTTCAAGATTGTTTTCACTTTCAGGGTGTCTGGGTGGCTCAGTTGGCTAAACATCTGACCTCGGCTCAGGTCATGATCTCACTGCTTGTGAATTTGAGCTCTGCATCAGGCTCTGGGCTGAAGCCTGCTTCAGATTCTGTCTCTCTGTCCCTCCCCTGCTCGTGCTCTCTCTCTCTCTCAAATAAAAATAACACAAAAAAAATTTTTTTTAAAGATTGTTTTGACTTTTACTAGAAGCTTTGCATTTCCATATGAATTTTAGAATTAGCTTGTCAATTTCTACAAAAAAAATTGCTCAGATTTTGGTAGGAATTGCATTAAATACATAGATCAATTTGGGGAAAAATGACATCTTAACAATTGACATCTTCCACGCCATTAATACAGTATCTCTTTCCATTCATTTAGAACTTCTTTAATTTCTCCCAGAAATATTTTATAGTTTTCAGTGTACAGATTTTTTCCCACCTTTTGTCAGATTCATCCTATGACCTCATACTTTTTGGTGCTATTGTAAATAGTGTTAAATTTCATGTTGATTTCCAATTGGAAACCTGGAATTGGAACTTTGCTAAACTTCCAATTGGAACTTTGCTAATGTATTATTTCTAGTAGCTTTTTTGTAGATTCAATAGACTTTTCTATACAAAAGATGATATCATAGTCTATAAATCAAATATAGTTTTGCTTCATCTTTTCCGATCTGGATGCCTTTTGTTTCTTTTTCTTACCTGATTGCATTAATTAGAACTTCCCATACAGACAAGAGCAGACATTTTTCTCTTGTTCCTGATCTTAGGGGGAAAGCATTCAGCCTTTCACTATTAAGTGTTAGTTGGCCATAGAGGAAGTCTGTAACTACTCCTACTTTGCTGAGATATTTTATCAGGAGGAGACACTGGACTTTATAAAGATAATTCTTTGCATTTATTCAGATCATAATATGGTTTTTCTTTTTTTAAATATAGTCTATTCATATCCTAATGCTGCTATAACAAATTACCAAAAACTTAGTGGCTTAAAACACAAATATATTATCTATGGTCTGGAAGTCAGGAGTATGTAGTTGGCCAGGTGGGCTAAATTCGAGATGCGGACAGGATTATGTTCCTTTTTGAAGTATTAGGCAAGAACCCATTCTCATTTCTTCCCATGAACATTCCTTGGCTAATGAGCATCTTCTATTTTTAAAGCCAGCAATCACATCACTCCGATCTCTGCTTCTACTGTCACATCTTTTCCTCTGACTCTGACTCTCTTGTCTCCTTCTGCCACCTGTAAGGACCCTTGTAATTATGTAGGCCCCACCTGGATAATCCAAGATATTTTCCTCTTCTCAAGATCAGCTGATTAGCAACCTTAAATATATCTACAACCTTATTTCGCCTTTGCCATGTAACATAACATATTCACAACTTCCAGGGATTAGGGGAGTTATTATTCTGCCTACCACACATAGTAAAATACCTTGATTGATTTTCAAATGTTAAAGCAACCTTGCAATTTGGGAATAAATCTCGTTGGTCATGATCTTTATCTATATCTATACCTATACCTATATCTATATCTATATATCTATATCTATATCTATATCTATATCTATATCTATATCTATATCTATGAGGTATATTAACCTGCAGATTTATTTTCCTATAATGACTTTGTCTGTTTGGGGTATCAGGGTAATAGTGACTTCACAGAATGAATAGGGGATTATTCCATCTTTCTCAATTTTCTGCAAGAGTTTATATATAACTGGTAGTATTTGGTAGAATTCAGCAGCGAAAATATCTGAACCTGGAGCTTTTTTTGTGAGACAGTTTTGAACTACAAATTTTAATTTCTGTAATAGATATAGGGATATTCAGGCTATCTATACTTTCTTTAGTGAGCTATGGGAGTTTATGTCTTAAAATAAATTTGCCTGCTTCATCTAAGTTGTAGAATTTATTGGCATT